GACAGGGAGCCCAAGGCCCAAAGCAAAAAGTAGTAAAGCCAAAAGTTGAACTCCGCTTGTCTTGTTCCAAAGTTTGTGCTCATACACATTATACACCCATGTCTACCCTTTCCTCCTTAAAAATCTCAAATGCAACGTGATTTGCCTCATTGTGGAAATAAATTTACATTTGCATCTAATAACTGCAACATTGAAAATTACGGGATTTGCATGAGGTGGATGATGCAAAGGGTGATTATAACAGAAGAGAATTTGCTGCCTCCCCTTTACTTTATAGAGTCTGTCTTAAAGAGAACTGGAAAAGAAAACAATTAAGCCAGGGCTTGCTTTGTGGAAGAAAAAAATGATAAGTACATAACAAGCATTGGGAAGTGAATAGGAAACCCCAGATGCAGCTGAGTGAGGTATGGGAGAGGGGAAGGAGGCTGTTAAAGTTTTATACTTAAAAAAAAAATTATTAATGTGATCTTATTTTTAGTACTTTCATGAGCATAATCTCAAAAGATTTAACTAATTTGACTGACTTTTAAGTATTTTGAGGAAATAGACTGAGGTTTCTTGGGATGTAATTGACCCTAAAGTTATGAAAATAAGGTCTAACTAATGTGTTTACAAATCTTTTGCAATACTATTATGACTGCTATTAATAACCACAGCAACTTTGTTTTTATCTGAAATTTAGCTCAAATTTAGTGTGCCTGACTTTTGTCTTTATAGAAACTCCTCTTGTTAGTATTACTCCATTTCACCCTTATTCAGACTGTGGTATATCCAATAACTGCTTTAGTCAGTTGCATCAATAATTACTGGTATCAAAATAAAAAACACTGATGTCATTACTGGTGTAATAATTGCCATCTTTCTCTCTTTTTTAAATGGTTCTTTTTTGTAACTAGAATGTGCCATGCTACAGGATAACTTCTTTTTTCAGCACTAATTCATTTGTGCAACTAGCTCTCTTAGAAACATTGTCTACAGATGTCTGCTTTAGAGAGTATGTAACATGGAGCTCAGAGGGATGACCCCAGTGTGTCACAGAAATAACACTCTACTGATTTGTTCACATAACCAGCGCTTTTAGAAACCTCTTTCACACAGTGGTTCTTAGAGAGTGTGTAACACACCAGGCTAACTTAAAAAAAAAAGTAATTATTTCAACAACTCTGCAAGGTTGATGTTATTATTATCATTGTATTGATGAACAAATTGAGACACAAGGAGGTTAAATATCTCACATAAAACAAATCCTACTTCCATTCCTGGAAATATGTACTTTTTTTCCCCTCCCACTAAAAATAACTAGAAACCCTAGACGTTATATATCAAACAACATAAGAAGATTCTGTAAGGTGGAGAGAAGAAGGCAAAACACGCAACTTTGGAATTCAAGGACCACCATGTTGGTGAGTGTCCCTGTTTTTTTGTTGGCTGCTACATCTTAGATAGGAGGGAAGATGTAGGTAACTGGTAAATGCCAACAAACATTTGTTGGCACACAAATGGCCCAAATAAAAGCCCATGCTTTCAAGTCAGAGGACCAAGAAAGGGGCAGCCTGCAAATCAGAAAAATTTTAGGTAATAGCCACTCTACTACATTCAAACCCCACAGGGAAAACAAAATGAAGCAAAGAGAAAACATGGCCTCTTCTCCACCCATACTAGCAAAGGCCAAGTCGAGAAGCCTAAACTTCAACCCTTGCCCAGCTGTAATGGGGTACTTCCACCTCCCCACCAAAGTAGTATCAGAGAAGGCTGAGTAGTGAAACAGACTTTCATCCCCATGTGGTAAGAATGAGACAGCCTTCCCTCTTACCATTGGGATGGTATGACAGAAGGCCCCGTGGAGAGACAGGACTTGTACCACCACACTGCAATAACAAGGCCTTTATCTACCCCTGTGGTGTCAGTGAAGGCTGTGTGGGGAGCAGTGATGAAGCATTTCTACCTGTTCCAACCAGGGGGGTTGGTGGACGCCTTAGGGAGAACTGGAATTCTCATGCCACGCAGCAGTAATGAGGAGTCCACCCCCTGAGTGTCAGCAGAGGCCAAATGGGAAATCTGGGCTTCTACTTCACTGGTCAGTAATGAAGTGGTACCCCATGTATCCTACCATGATTTCTACAAAGTTGCATATTCAACAGTTTTTGGCTTTTAAATTTAGGAGTTGTAGTATGGTATGTACCATATACCTTAAACAGTGCTCTCTAAATCAGGGTATGTACAAAATGATTTACTGGGATGTCAAATTAAAATGTTAGAACTTCTATTAATGTTTGGGTATCCCATCCTTTTAAATGTCTGTTTATATTTAAATATCATTGTTTATAATGGTACATGTATGTCCTTAATATATAAAAACATATACTGGGGATATATGCTCAGTTTTTTGTTTTGTGTGTTTGTTTGTTTGTTTGTTTACTGACTGGATACATCATGTTTAGAGACAAGCATTTTAAACAATTAATATTTAAAACCCTTTCTTACCTGAGGATTGAGCCCTGTGAAAATGGGCTGGTGTTGGGACAGGTACTCAGAAGAGTGGCCAAAAGGAAGATTTGGAAGGTTCAGGAGATAAATATGTTTTTGTGTTTGATTACTCTGACTAGATAAAGGGACATACCTAGGTAATCACATATATTCTCCTATTTAATACCATAGTTCCAACAATGATTTTAAAATGTGATTATTTTAAGCCCTCAGGTAGAGAAGGACAATGCAGGCAATGTTGAGTTTGCCTATCCGGGGTCAAGTCAGGTGGGCTGAGGTGATGCAGAGCAGGACGTGGACAGGGTTTGCTGCAGCCTCGAAACCTGACATCTAACAGGATAGGATATAGGCTCTAACAGTGCTTCTGAAACTCTGGCAGTTTGATTGATTCAATCAATATATAATGTCTCTAAGCCTCAAGGGGATCACACTTGAATGAAATTTAATCAGTGATATTAATTCATCTGAGGCAGGAATGGTTCTGATGGAGAAAAGTGGAGAGCCTGCAAAATTGAGATTCAGAAAGTGAAGGTCTGCCTGATTTTTTAGTGAGTACTGTTCCATTAAGGAAGACTCCAGATTGGGGAGATAAAAACACACTTGTTAATTTAGCTTTATTAAAGACTCAGTGTATGAAAGACTACCAGTACCATCACTCTACTGCCTTGGATCTTCCATTTCATACTTACCAAGCAACTTCCTGCTGAAAAAATATGGATTCTTAAAAATCTTGCTAATAACAGCTCAAAGTGGTTGATTGCTACTGTGTGTCAGACACCATTCTGGGTGCTTTATATGTATTAGTTCATTTAATTTTTATAACAGCACTCTGGAGTAGAAGCTGTTGTTAGCTCCCTTGTTGAAATGAAGGAACTTGATTCCACAGAGACTAAGAAAGGTGCTCAGTGCCAAATTGTTAGTAAGTGGCAAAGCTGGGATTCATACTGGGGCACTCACAGCTTAAAGTCTGACTTCTTAATCATTCCAGTTGAATCCGGAACAAGAGAAGCCTTGGAAAGGAATGATGGTACTCAACCACTGGAATAATGTGACTGACGTTTCAAATTAATGAATGGTCTTTGAGGTATTGTGATCAGAAGTACATAGATCAGTTAACAGGACTTTATCACAGAGAGACTGCAGTCTAGTTGACTAAGGACTTCCGGTTTGGGGACTTGAAAGCCTAGGGGGTTGACTCTGAACGGTAGGGACTACATGGGGATTACCATTACAAGCCCCTCCTAAATAAAGTCACTACCAGGGTCATCCTGTCAGCAATCCAGCCTCTACTTTATTAGAAATGCTGATGCAAGTATGTCCTATAAATGTGGTTTCTATAGCAGGTAATTTGGGATTTTTTAAAAGACTTCATTGTATCTTTCTTTTATGTGAACTCATATGTCTCCTCATTCATTCTGACTTCTGCCCCAATCTTCTGCTGTCTCTGAGAAATCAAGGGTATCTCTTAAATTGATCAAGTTACTCATAGAGTAATGTTGTAAACAACAATTGTAGGGTTTTTGTTATGTTTTGTCCATTTTTAGCACTCAAACATATTTTGAAAAGTCAAGTTGATTATTTGGTAAACTCCCAGTTGCGTTGGGCCAGTTCTTCTTTCTAGAAAATGACTCCTGAGAGTTGGCTTGTGTCAATTCTTACAGGCAAGAACATCTGCTAAACTATTTTCTTCTTGGCATTTACAAAAATAGCTTTCAAGTTGTTATTATGGTAGTTTTAAAAGTAGCATATTTTCTTTTTATTCTCTTCTTTCTCCGAAACCTGTCTCAGGTGATCCTGGCACCATGGGCTATGGCAGTGGGTTTGTTCTCTTCTCTTCTCTTCTCTTCTCTTCTCTTCTCTTCTCTTCTCTTCTCTTCTCTTCTCTTCTCTTCTCTT